TGAATTTAGGTTTTCGATTGGAAGTTCAAATGTGTTCAAAGAAATACGAATGAAAATTTAGATCCTGGTTCACTCCCGCGCTTGACCTTATCTTTCTCCAATTTTCTTCTCGGTATCAGCTTCTTGATTGATGGGTTGTACTGGCTCCTGGTGCCGCTCCTTCTCTTGGTTGACACAAGATCTTTGGTCGTCCACGACAGTAAGAGATATCAAAAAATAGTCAACTGAAAAAAAATATAGGTGATACTATGATAAATAATTTATTAGTTGGCAACTTTTTATCTTTTACAGGTAACGAGTTATATGAGCTTAACGTTGACATATGTAGTTCTAAAATACGGGAATTCTAAAATTCGAAAACTCAGAATTTCGAAGGTTTTCCAATTATCGAAACTCCCAATTGTCAAGAAAAACTAAATTTGGACATTTGAAAATTCGGAGAATTTAGAAAATTGGAAATCGTAAAATCAGGAAACTCAAAAAATTCAGAATTCCAAAACTCAAAAACTGAGAAATTCGGAGGTTCAACATTTCAGAAATCGAGAAACTCAGTGAACCATAATCTCAGAAGTCGAGAAATTGAGAAATCCAGAAAAATTATGAAGTTCGGAATTTCGAAAGTTGTAGGAGAATTTTTAAAAATTGGTCACCGTCCAACCTAAAACTCTTATTTTGGATTTGTACACTCTGAAAGTCTAGGTTTTGACTTCTTTTTTCTGAAATTCATTTTTCCAGGTTCCTATGCTGGCCTCGCTTTTCTTCTCTATATCGGAGTCATGTATCCAATGCTATTCAAATCTCTAATCACTCTCCGTTTTGTATACATAATGGTGTTCTTGATTTATTTTGCTTCTTTTTTAATATCTGTAAATTTTTGCTATTTCTGAATCGTCTCAAATTACAGACTTTCAGATCCCAACTGGCATCTTTCAAGCCGCTATTCAAAGCCCTGGAATCATCTCATGCAACCAAAAAAGCTGCGTTCCGTTTGTGAATCTTGTCGAATGTAATTTTTTAGGGATGAGTTAAAATTTCAGTTTCTTCGAATTTCAGTTATCGTTACCGGTGTTTGTTTGGTTTTTACAATTGCTGTGTTATTTTTTGTATTCATCTCGTTGGTCAGGCATAATAGGAAACTGAAAAGGGTATGAGAGACGACATCTGGACAAATAGATACACAGAAAACTAAAATTTTCCAGTCGGACACCCTCTCATCGTCAGCCTCATCTATGAAACGAGTCCGTCGTCGACTGGGATGGGCAATTATCGCAGTAATTTTCATTTCGGCTGCTCAAATTATTCCCTATGTATACCTATTGGATGTGGCTCCTCATGACGTCAAAAGTTGCGATGGATTCTATAAAGCGAACAAGTTCGTCGGAGAAGTTATCGCTGGATTCGTGGAGTCGCTAGTTTGGATTTTTGTATTTTTGTTGGACCCAATTATGAACATTTTTTGTGATAAGAAAATGTCCGAGAAGGTTAACGGGCAGGTATGGTTAGAGAATTAATTTTGGTCGGTCGAAAACCGCCGATCGACCGCTGCCCGAATTCGTGCATTTGCGCGTCTGCATGGCAGTGTTTGCGTACGAAGCATTTTATTTCTGAAAACACTCTCTGACGCGCAAATGCAAAAATTCAATCAGCGGTCGGCTATTTTCTACCGACCGACATCGAAAAAATTTCAGTTCCGTCGATTACGAGAACGCCTTCCAAATGCTACGTTGGCTTCTGCAATGGTCCCAAGAGGATGATCTCAAAAAATCAATATGGATATTTTAATTTTGATCTCAACTTTATTGAATTTTCTGAAAATATGAATCTTTACTATCACCAATTTCTACAATCAATCACCAAGTTCTGTATGTGTGTAAGAGTGTGTCCGTTTGTCCCCGTATCGCCGACTCTAGCGAAGTCCCCACTGGACAAAAAATTTCCCAAATGTTCACAGATAATTTGAAATAGTAGCGAAATGATGCGCTACATTTTCTTTTATCGAAATATACAGAATTCGATTTAAAGAATTAATTTTAAACAGTCCATAAGCTTGATACTGTAGCCATCATAAATATACCATTCTTCCCCCTCACTGGGAAAAAAACAACATAATAGAAAATGAATAAATGAAGTTGCGTCTCCGGAGGCGCGGCAAACATGCCATATTTTCAGCATTGTTATCTGATTTTGTGGAGGCTAAAAAATTCTGCCAGTTTACCAGTGCGGTGGAGCGCAGACTTCCTGAAAAATATTCCCCTAATAGTCCATTACATTGTTTTTAAAATTTGATCTCAACTTTATTGAATTTTCAAAAATCATGAATTTATATACATACACAACGTAACAAAGAAGTTTGATAAAAGAACGCTGGGGAAAATGGGACCCGTTTCCAAACAAAAAAAAAATCGATAATTCCGAAATTTAGGAGATATCACAGTACTTGACAGAGTCTCTCGGGCGAATGCTCTCACTCAGGAGCACGTTCAAAGTTCTCGTCTCGACTTGAAGAGTCATATAATAGCCCTGTTTGGTCTCCACAATCTGTCTTCTGGATCGATTTTTCAGCTCGATTTGTCTCTTTCTGATTTGTTTAGATCTCCATTCGGCTGACATCCATTGCTCAGCAGAGACATCTCGTTTTTGACGGACCGGCAGGACTGGCACCTTCTTGGGACATTTTGGAGGCTGAAAATCTCTTTTTTACTTAGGTTTTTGGTGGAAAACTATCAATAAGAAAAGAAAAAAAAGCTCTCGCCCCCGACACAACTCGAATCCTTGACCTCCTGAACAAAATAGCAATGCGCTACCACCTGCGCCACCGCCCCAGCTCTTACTACCACAAGCTAAATGTACTTACAATACTCTGGTTGCACGGCGCATTCGGGTCCTTCATATTGCACAGCGAAATTCGGCAATGGAAGATGAGATCTCCATCTCCAGGGAATTTGAAAACCGACATCTCCTGGAATACGTAGGCGTCATCTGGATAGTCCTTGAAGCGAGAATAGTTGGGGGTTTCCAGGAAGTGCTGATCGACTTCGCATCTGAATCAAAAAATTAAATTTAGAAGTTCCAAAAATTAAATACACTGACCCATTAGAATCCAAAATCTGTTGTGTATGCTTTTCGGACTGCACGAAACAATCGTGGACCAAGTAGTTGTATTCTGGTGCTGAAAATGGAGACAATTAATTTTTTCAAAGTTTTCAAAATTTCTAGTCAACAAACGGCTATCGCATTCCCAACGATGGTACAGTGTCTCTCCAACCTTGGCATCCAGCGCCACGCATTGTCCAGGACTGTATCTGAAAATGATCCCTTTCAGATATTCATGAGAAATCTTACTGTACCTATGAAGTCTGTAGTTGCATTGTGTGTCTGCGGCATTTTTGAGGATAGCTTGATCGAGTTCTTGACGTGGAACTGCCGATGGAACGAAGCAGGACATATCGAGACCTTGATCGGCTCTTGTGATGATTAGAGGATGGAATTGGAGGATTACGGTGATGTTGAAATGGTAGCCACGACCATCCTGGAGAAGTTCAAGAGTTTCATATGAATGCATCTGGTTTTGATTACTGTCTCTCAAATTTTTGTAATCACTTTTAGTCTACCGTCTTTCCTCTAATTGGGAGCCTCTACCCTTGATATCGTTAACTTTAAAGGCGCATGACTCAAAAACTACTGTAGTTGGAAAAAAGTTATCAATTACAAAATTAATGCTCTAGTTTTGTTTAGTATATTCCATAATTTTCAGACAAATCGAAAATTTTTGGAATACTTTTGTAGGGCTTCAAATTTGACAATCGTATTTCCTCTGAATGAAGCCCACCCAAACCGTCAACGTTAAGCTCAAATATCTCATTTCCTGTCAAAGATATTGAAAAGTTGTCGACTAAAATATTGGTGATATTATGATGAACATTTTATGAGTTGACAAGTTTTTGATATCTCTTATAAAGATCGAGAGAATCGAGCTCAAAGTTGACGCTTACTTACCGCTGATGGTGTCTTCACCAGACCACATTTTCCCTCCATAAAAGTCATTTGAATCTCTCTGTTATTATCGGTCTTCTTCATCATACACTCTGGCTCATCATGATACATATGAGCATACATCAGTCCTTGAAGTGCTCTTTGAGTCCGGACCACAATGCTCATCGAATGTTCCGTACATTTCACATCAGTGGCTCCTCTAACTTGAGGTTTTGCATCTGGAGGCAACTCGATTCCATCGCATCCAAAACCAACGTATTTCATGAATTCACTTTCAAATTCCTAAAACGAGTATAGGAATTGAAAGGGAGAAGTTTGAGACTAGACTTACATGAAGGTTCGGTGGTGTGAATGCACGTTTCTCGGATCCAGCAATCAATCGAAGTTCAGCTTCATCCACCAATGGACGAGGAGTGACACTTACGGCAATCATTATGATTCCGGCTGCACGCATTTTTTCAGCCATGTCTTTAGGAGATCTGGAAATTAAAAAATACTAGTGTTGTTGAAATTCCAGAATTTCAGGATTGGAAAATACCGAATTTTAATAGATTGATAACGAAACTTAATAGGCGCATAACTCAAAAACTACCGTATCTAGAAAAAAAGAAACAATTACAAAAATAAAACTTGAATTTTGTTTAGTAGTCTTTAAAAGTTTAGGGCTTCAAAGGTGACGACCGTATTCCCTCTGATAGAAGCCTTCCCCCAAACCGTCAACTTTAAGCTCAGTAATCTCGATTCCTGTGTAAGATATCAAAAAGTTTTAAATTATAAATTATTCATCATAATATCAGCAATATTTTATCAGTTGTCAAATGTTTGATATCTTTTACAGGAACCGAGATCTTCGAGCTCAAAGTTTGCGGTTTGGATGAGCTTCTTTCAGAGGAAATACGATTGTCAAATTTGAAGCCCTACAAAAGTATTCCAAAAATTTTCGATTTGTCTGAAAATTATGGAATATACTAAACAAAACTAGAGCTTTAATTTTGTAATTGACAGCTTTTTTCTAGCTATAGTAGTTTTTGAGTTATGGGTCTTTAAAAACGGGATGCTGGTTACCAAGAGAGGCGAGACGCAGACAACCAGTTGTTAAAAGCGCATGTCTCAATTAGAAAACTAAAGCTTTATTTTCGTTTAGTATACTCTGAAATTTTCAAATAAATCGAAGAAAAAACGAAATACTTTCGTGTTGCGTCAAAGTTGACTACCACATTTCCCCTAATACAGAAGTACAGAAACTCATCCAAAGAGGTCAACTTTGAGCTTTAGGTTCCTTATAAAAGACATGAAAAATTTGTTATAAAAGACATGAAACATTTGTTATAAAAGACATGAAACATTTGTTATAAAAGACATGAAAAATTTGTCAACTGATAATTATTTATCTTAATGTCAGCAATATTTTATCATTTGACACATTTTTGATATCATTCATAGGAAGCGAGATATATTGGCTCAAAGTTGAAAGTTAGACTTTATATTACAGGTTTTAAGGTATTTTTGCCCCTTACTTTTCCACGTTTTTTCTGAAAAATGGGAGACGTTTAGAAACGTCCTATCCTTATCGGCCACCCTGTAGGTTTAATGTCCATACACATTTTTTGACAGTTTCAACTAACCTATGAGAATGTCCATCAGTAAGAACCAATGCCATTTTCGGCACACCTTCTCTAATTCCAGTCGATGGATCTTTTGAAGTCAGAAGATCAAATGCATCCATCAATGCCACATTTGTAGCTGTTGTTCCTTTGATTGATCGAATATTCTTTACGAATCCCTGTACTGAAGTGTTATTTCCATACAAGAACGAATTGAATTTAAAATGAACGAATGCTTGTCCAGAGTAGGTTATCAATGCAACACGGACGGCTTCTGGATGGATGTTAATGTTTCCCAAAACTCGATCGACCAGGAATTTTTTCTGAGAAATTCTTTTTTAGGTGAGACTGTAAATTTTGATCTACCTGATCGCTGAAAAGATGATCCAAGGACTCCGAAGCGTCAACCACAAGAGCAAGGTCCAATGGTTTGTCTGATCCTTTCACACAAGCTGAAATCAAAAAACTTAAACATTTCCTTTTTTCTTGAAAACTCACTCGGCTGCTGCTCACAAATCTCCGTTCCATGATACTTTTCAAATTGAGGTTCCAGCTTTTGCAAATTCTGATTTGTCACAATTTTCTGCTCCGATTGAGTATAATTAGCCAAGGCTGCCATTGCCACATAGTCGCCAGTACCGTAAGCCCAGATGTCAATATTTGGGATTTCTCTGGAAATGCGCTCTTTTGAAATTGAGTAATTGGAAATCACGGTGAGTTTTTCACTGCCGCTGCTTCAACTTTGGAATTTTTTTTCTCGAATTCTAGTCCATAACTTTTTTTCTGTTCCATAAATTTTTAGTAAATTTTATGAAGAATATATAGCAAAAAAATGAATCAGATTTTTTTGTCCGTTGTACTTTAAAACGTCGCAGACTGTTTCGCATCCGGTAGTGAAAAACTCACCGTGTGGAAATGAGGGGAACTTTAAAAAGGTTACCTTCTCAAGACATCAGACATTTGCCAATCCTTTGGATAGTCATGAGTACGACCGTCGGACAGAAGATAGACGATTTTTGGTACAGTTCCATCACGAAGACCCTTAAAATGTTTTGATATTCGAAACTTCATGAAACACCGTATACGGGAACTCTCTACTGTCCTTTTGAAGGTACCGTATTTCCTCTAATAAAAGCACACTCAACCTAAATGGGCATTTGGAGCTCAATTATCTCGGTACCTATGCAAGATGGCAAAAATTAGTTAATTGATAAAGCATTGGTCATAATAATATTATTATGATAAACAATTTATCAGTTGATTATTTTTTATATCTTTAACAGAGACCGAGAAAAACAGGATCAAAGTTAGAAGTTATCCTCCTACGGGTTTTTAATGGTAGTCAACTTTGAAGACCTACAAAAGTGTTTCAAAAACTATCACTTTGTCTAAAACTGAAGGCCAAATTTTGTTTAGTATACTCTGAAATTTTCAGACTAATCGAAAAAATTCTGAAGTACTTTTGTCGAATTCCAAAGTTGAGTACCATTAAACGTGTACAATTCCTTTATAGAAAAAAATTACTCACACTTCCAGGAGTCTTCAATTGCTGAAGCGCGAATTCAAAGGCCCCACCGATTCTCGTAATTCCGGAAACATGACGAAGAACGTCCAACGCCGCAAGCAACTCTTCTCGATCAGTGAATTTTTCGAAATTGAATTCCAAGTGTTGCGTTCCACTGGAAATTCGAATTTCAGCAATTAAAGACTTTTAGTTTAAAAAATCAACCTAGTGAAGCTTTGATTTCCAAACTGCCTCAAACACTCAAATAGAAGGCCATTCAAACCGTTAACTTTGAGCTCAATTATCTCGATTCCTAAGAAAGATATCAAAAAGTGACCAACTCAATAGCTGACAATTTTTTGATACCTTTGACAGAAAGCGAAATAATCGAGCTTAAAATACTCAACCGCTTAGCTTACCTGAACTGAATCAACATAACCCTAGTTGCAGTTTTTCCAATCGTCACATGCTTCAGAATTCTTCTGATAATGTCGATTTCATCCTGAAACTTGTCTCTCAAGGATCCAGAAGAATCCAAGATAAAAATCAAATCGAGAGGTGGTGCGAAAACTTTGCATCTGGCTGAAAAAAAGCTTGATTTTTCAAAAAAATTAGTCACCACAACAAAAAATTAGACTTACGTTTCGTTGACACCGGCGTATGAACAATTTCGGGCGGCGCAAGACCGTTATCTATAATCTTGACGGCTTCTGTTTGAAAAGTAACAGCCAATATGAGTAATGGTATGGCGACTAAGCGTCGTCGCATTTTGCTGAAAAAGTCTTTGTTTACTATGCTAACTGCGATTTGGTTACAGCAGATTATAGGATTATTAGAGAAGGGACCTGGTCAAAAACATGTTATCACAGATAAAGTGACTGTCAACACAACCACACTAGTGGAACAACATATGATATCTGATAATCAAAAAGGAAAAAAAAAGAACTGAAGAGAGTGGGATTCGAACCCACGCCCCCGAAGGGACTGGTGCCTTAAACCAGCGCCTTGGACCGCTCGGCCATCTCTCCGACGAGAAACTAACGGAGTAGAGTGCAACTATGAGTCGCCGAGAGACTAGAGGAGTAGGTCAACATTGGGGAGGAGAGAAAAGAAAGGAGGGGTTGAGTGTATGAAGGACAATCATGCGGAATGGAATTAAAATGATTATTTTGGGAGAGGAGTTGGGAGGAGTTTTAGGGAGGAGTTGAAAATAATTCAAGTTTAAAGGGACATAAGGACCTAATCTTCAAAAACGCCACAAAAAATGTAGCAAAAATCATGTAGAAAAATACAATAAGCTAGGTTATACTGAAAAATAGATAACTGTCAAAAGGACAACTGAAAAAGATAGAGAAATGACAAAAAGAGAGTGAGAGGACACAAACAAACGAGTTGAAAATCTTTTGTTTCCTTCCCAATTGTAATTATAGTTATGCATGCCATTTTCTCTCTCTCTCTCTCTCTCTCTCTCTCTTTCTCTCTCTCTCTCTCTCTCTCTTTCTCTCTCTCTCTCTCTTTCTCTCTCTTTCTCTCTCTTTCTCTCTCTCATTTTCTCAGCTTCTCTACTAGGCGATGCCAAGAAGAAAAACTGTTCTCATCAATCATTGTTTGAAACACTCATTGTCTGATGAAGCCTCGAGAAAAAAAAAAAGAAAAAGTGACTGATGACAGGGTCAAACACCCTTATATGGCATATAGTTAAGAGACCATGTATGGTCACCTGGTAAGAGGAAAAATAAAAGAAAGAATTTGGTAAACCTATTTAGAAAATTGTGTAAAAGAACACCATGGAAAAAGAAATGTCGGGAAACCTGTAGTATTGATAAAAATGTTAGAATTTTTAAACCTCTTGTCAAAACCGTAGTATGATTTGTGTAATGAACATTTTGAGGAATTTTAGGACCTGATTCTTGAAAATTTCTATTTGACATTGAGGTTTAAGAAATCCTTCAGGGGGTCCGAAAATCATATTCTTACAAGGGAAGGTTTCTTAGACAATGGTTGAGAATTTGCTCAAAATTTGCATACATATAGTTTGAGACATGCTCTATAAGATGACGAAAAAATTTTTAGCCCGTTCTCACTCCCAGGCCGAAAAACATTGTCTGAAAATTTAGGCCGATTTCGGTGCGCTGATGATTTCGGCTTCCCCTTCCCTCCTCTACCAATTCCGCGAGAGAGGAAAATATCGGTTGTGTGGTGTTGTGGTAAGAGGGTGACTCATTAGAATTGACTATGCTGGTTCGACCCCCACTGTGGTATTTTTTTTTGCATTTTTTGAAACTAATTTTTGATTCCAAGTTTGCCCCCCTAGGCACTATATGACACTTTTTGATTAATTTCAAAAGTTTTCAAAGAAAAAAAGATTTCATGAGAGTTTGAGGAAAAAATAGGTAATGGTCTTTTCGACCGGTTCTTACATCCTTGTATCGTTAAAAACGAAAATTTCAGTCTCTGAAAGTTGCTCAATTTTGCTCTTTTTAAGGTGGAGTACTGTCAAATCGATCACATACAAGATTCGAACCTATTTCTATAGGTTTCAGTTAAGTTCAAGCGATATTTCAGAAATTAGGAACTGTCAAAGTTCTAACAACAATCAGATTTTGGAGATTTTCTGAGCCCAAAGACAATATTGGGCTGAAAAAATTTGTCAGAATGCTATTTATTATCGTTTCTGAATAATTGGAACGTTTTTTCGCACTTTTCAAAAAATTTTCAAAAAATCATTTTTGAAGTTTGGGGGACCCCATGGTGTTTTTTCAAAATTTTAAAAAAAAAATTTTTTTTGAAAATGTTTAAAAGTTACTTTAGAAGATAGAAAAATGTCCAAAAATGAGTTTCGCAAAATGAGTTTCTCAAGCAAATCCTGAAAAACTAATTTTTAACCTCGAAAAATGCATGTTTTTGGCCAAAATTTAGTACTAAAAGCACTTTCAGAGGCCATATTTCGGCTCCTTTTGAGAACGGGACGGGCTGAAAATTTTTTTGGATTCGGATTCAGCATGTTCGAAAGTACCTTTGTACAAATTTTGAGCGCATTCTCAACCGTTGTCTGAAAAACCTTCCCTAGAGAAAAAATTCCAAAATTTGAGTAATTCCAGATTTTCGGAATATCAGAACTTCTGAAATTCTGAAATTCTGTAATCCTACGATTCTGAAATTATGCGCTTCTGAGATTCTGAAATCTGAATTTTAGAATCTCAGAATCTCAGAATCTCAGAATCTCAGAATCTCAGAATCTCAGAATCTCAGAATCTCAGAATCTCAGAATCTCAGAATCTCAGAATCTCAGAATCTCAGAATCTCAGAATCTCAGAATCTCAGAATCTCAGAATCTCAGAATCTCAGAATCTCAGAATCTCAGAATCTCAGAATCTCAGAATCTCAGAATCTCAGAATCTCAGAATCTCAGAATCTCAGAATCTCAGAATCTCAGAATCTCAGAATCTCAGAATCTCAGAATCTCAGAATCTCAGAATCTCAGAATCTCAGAATCTCAGAATCTCAGAATCTCAGAATCTCAGAATCTCAGAATCTCAGAATCTCAGAATCTCAGAATCTCAGAATCTCAGAATCTCAGAATCTCAGAATCTCAGAATCTCAGAATCTCAGAATCTCAGAATCTCAGAATCTCAGAATCTCAGAATCTCAGAATCTCAGAATCTCAGAATCTCAGAATCTCAGAATCTCAGAATCTCAGAATCTCAGAATCTCAGAATCTCAGAATCTCAGAATCTCAGAATCTCAGAATCTCAGAATCTCAGAATCTCAGAATCTCAGAATCTCAGAATCTCAGAATCTCAGAATCTCAGAATT